ATTGTTTCTGGTAGTTGTTTCCTCTCCACTTCATCTGCCGGAATGGTACTGGCCGGTAACTCATACGAAAGCCAACAGTCATCCATCATGTCCGACACGTGAGGGGGTTTCTCAATAATTCGACATATTATGCCGTATGAATCGGGCTCTTGAATGCTGGGAGGGACCTCTTCAATGATGACAGTGGCCTCTTGAATGGTGGGAGGGGACTCTTGAGGGATGATAGGGGCATCTTTAACGATAGGAGAGGCCTCTTGAACGATGACAGGTGAGTCGGGCTTCTTCTTACGGAGTCTTCGCACTATTGGGGTGAACGGAGATGTAATGGCACGTGCACGCCGTCTGATGCGTAAACCCCGTCGTACAAGAAAAACCCGACCTAAAGCATCCACCTTATCAGACCGCTAAAAATAATTATTAATACATAAATCAGTAAATAAACAGACATGATATTAAATAGTGAAAACAAAGACAAATATGTTTCAAACTTGCACGGTATTCACCCAAGTCATTATTCTATCATAGTTCACAAAATGCATCATATAACATTCCGGAAGTAAGCACTTATAAACATTTAAAAGGACAACATATAGGTTTAGTACATGTTCAATGACAACATAAAGAGTAGTAGTTTATTCTTGAAACTTAAATTTGTAACACTGTGAAGTTAGTATTTATCTTTGTCTTTTGGTTGAAGTAATCCAATCCATTCAAGTTTCAATTTGCAGAAGAAGAATAGTTTCTGAAACTTAAAATCGCAACACGAAACTTAAATCGCAACGCAAAAATGACTATCGCAACGGGATAATCGCAATGCGAAATAAAAATCGCAACGCGAAACCAAAATTGCGATTATCCCGTTGCGATAGTCAACTTCGCGTTGCGATAGTCATTTCCGCGTTGCGATAATCATTTTCGCGCTGCGATTTAAGTTTCGTGTTGCGACTATTCTTCTTCTGCAAATTGAAACTTGAATGGATTGCATTACTTCAACCAAAAGACAAAACAAAGACAAATACTAACTTCACAAGGTTATTTTAGAACTGTTTAGCAGTATTGGTAGCAATCGAATGAATTTACTAAGCAATCTAAGTGAAATGGTTAATCTAAGTGAAATTACGAGTAAATCAAGTTAAATATGAAAAATCTTAAACTTACCTCGTTGCGTAGAGTATGAACCTCATTCTGCAACGATGCTACCATCTCACGTAGAGCCGCTACCTCACCACGTAAAGTAGATACCTCGTCACGCTATGCACCATTGTCATCGCGTAAAGTACCGACCTCCTCACGCAAGGCATTGACCTCATCACATAACTCCCCTAACTCATCCTGTGGAGGTGGAGAACAGGGAGATAAATGTCGTGGCATCTTTGTCGGTCGCCTATCATGAGGTGATGGTAGAGAAGAGGCTCGATGATGTGCCAGAATAGGTGATGACTCTCGTTGTAGAGGTATATAGTGTGGTCGATCAGGTGATGGCTCTCGAAGTGGAGGCTGCTCATCATCTGTGCCATCAAAAAAACGCTTACTAGCTTGCCACCAATCAGTGGCAAGCTTAGTCTCCGTGGGTGTCAGCCTCTGTAATGGAGTATTGGCCTCCTAACAATATAAAAGCTCAAACAAAGTTAAACGTGTACTAGTAATAACTTATTTATATATATGGTAGTATTTGTGTTAACTTACATCATTTATTGTCGTATACCGTAGTAACTCTTCCCAAATCAACAGCCGTTGTTTCCTCTTCCAGGAAATAGCTCTAGGAATATCATTTGAAGTTTTTAATGCATATGTCTACATGTCGGGAAAAGCCTCAAATATCCAAATCTACAAAAATAATATAATACACAAACATTAGAAATTGTTAAATAATTAATTATATTTTTGGAAACATTATATAGAAATTCTTACCTTAAAGGCCCAAATAAAGCCTGACAAAGTGTATTTGGAACCATCGCCACGCAAACTTTTGCGGTCATCAAAGGCATACGACAACTTATTCCAGGTAGCTTTCCATAGATACGAACCCCACGGAAACATGTTCCATGCATTTAGGTCCTCTACCAATAATATTAGGTCCTTAGGAATAGGTTGTCTGGCCTCTTTGCCTAAAAAGTCGGCATGCAAAAGTACTAAAAGGCATACTCGGACAACATCGATGTCATCCATCCGAGTAAAACCATCTTTCTTATTCAATAATCTTGTCAAGTCATCGACGTGTAGATTCGGCTTCTCCATTGACAGCTCAGGAAAAACCCGGGATAACCATGATGGGCGGGTAATATGACTAGTGTATCGACCTACATCATCGTGTCCGAAGCGTAGACCAGTGATTAAGCAAAACTCCTCCCTCCCAAAACACGTATACGCCGGTGGAAAATGAAACCATATCTCTTCATTACCACGTTTTATACTCTCGGGTAGATCGCTAGTCATGGTCTGGAGCCACAAATGGGTTAACATAGCATCTCCACCCGGATGTTGTACTTTCAGCCATGGCCCGAAGCAAGTATCCTCAAACAATGTTCTTTGTATAGGTGAAAGCTTCGATGCAATTGTAGTGACTAGGCTTATTTTATTCCTTAAGGTCAATTGAGCCAAAAAAAGTTATACAAAAACAATAAACATACCAAGTTAGATTAGAAACTACATTGTGAAGATATACCAAAAATAATAAAGAGTAGTAGTAGTTTATTCTTCAAACTTAAATTTGCAACACTGTGAATTTCGTATTTGTCTTTGTTTTTTGGTTGAAGTAATGCAATTCATTCAAGTTTCAATTTGCAGAAGAATAATAGTTTCTGGAACTTAAAATCGCAACACGAAAATGACTATCGCAACGCGAATTTGACTATCGCAACGCGAAATGAAAATCGCAACGCGAATTTGACTATAGTTGTGATTTTCATTTCGCGTTGCGATCATCAGTTTCAAATAGTCATTGTCTAAAATTGAAACTTGAATGAATTGCATTACTTCAACCAAAAGACAAAACAAAGACAAATACGAACTTTACAGGGTTAAAGACTAAACAGTTTAGCAGTATTGGCAGCAATCGAATGAATTTAATAAGCAATCTAAGTGAAATGGTTAATCTATTATTGAAATTACCAATAAACTTATCATCAATTTCAATATGAAAAACCTAATAATAATGCAAAAATTTCAAAATAAAAATAATTAAAAAAATTAACCCTCGGTGGTTGATTTGGTTGATTTTCCATTTCTGATCGTGAATGATTGTGAGGGTGGCTCTGAGAAATGGAGATAGACGGATTTCGCCGGAGATGGGGATGAATTTCGTCGGAGATGGGGACGGATGTCGCCGTAGAGAGTGAGAATGGAGATGGGACTGAGTTGTGATTTAGGGTTTTAGGTTAAGAGTTACAATTACGGGATGTATTAATATTCGTATTTGGAATTTGAAAATAAAATACGCGTTGTGATACTAATGGCGCTTTGAAAATCGCATTGCGATTTTGTATTATCGCGTTGCGATAGTCAGAATCGCGTTGCGATTATGTATTATCGCGTTGTGATAGTCAGAATCGTGTTGCGATTTACATATTCGCATTGCGATTTTACAAAATCGCAATGCGATAGTCAAAATCGCGTTGCGAATCTGGAAACTGATTTGCGATACTAGAGATCGCCTTACGATTTAGAGATCGCATTGTGATTTTGTTGGTCATTTTTGGCAAATAAAAAAAAGTTGGTCAAAATCGTATATTATAAGGAATTTTTGGTCACTGATGTTATTTTCTCTATTAGTAATTATAAGAATTGCTCGTCCAACTCAGTTGGTAGAGCGCAAGGCTCTTAACCTTGTGGTCGTGAGATCGAATCACATGGTGGGCAATTCATAATTCTGACTGCCGGAGGTCTCCCACGGAAGTTGCTCTCAACCTAGTGTTGGGGGCAACCTACTATTCTACCTCCCCCTTACCCCATTACACATAGAAATAAGGTCAGCTAATTTTTATATTAGTAATTATAAAAAAAATCACATGTTTTCGTTAAGATTTACCAAATATTAAAAGTGGACAACCAAATTAATTACACAGGATAAAATAAGGTTAGGCATCTCACCTAAACCAGTTAGGAAGATGCATGTATGCATCTCTTTTGATTTTTACTTTTTTATAAAAAAATTTAAAACTTAACCAAAAATGTAATTAAGAAACTATCTGGAAATAGTAATAATAAAACGCATAACATTTGAAAATATTTTAAATTTTTAATAAATAATTTATTCGATATATATTTTTGGTGTTTGAATTTAATTTCAATGTTTTTGGCATTCAATTTTTTGCCAATTAGGTTACGGAACTGTGTTAACTTTTTAATTTGGTATCTAAATGGTTTTTTTATTCTAATTAGGTACTTGAATTTGGTTTTTTAGTTTGAATTGATACCTAAACTTTTATCTTATCTTATTGGCACCTGAATTAAAAAGTTAAGCATATGGAACAATTTGAATCAAGATATCAAGTCAAGGTACCTAATTGGACATAAAAAAAAGTTTACGTGCCAATAAGGATAGAGCCATTAATTTAGCGTTGGAGGAGCCAAGGAGAGATAAAAATAAAAAATATTTTAAAACGGTTTAAATTAGATTAATTATTTTTAGCAGAGCCAAAAGTACAAAATTTTCACTTAAATAAAAGGTTAAAAGGATTAGTATCAGGGAAGGACTAATAATGCAAATAATCCATTAATTGAGGGGGCATGTTGGCTTCATTTCTGATATTAAATTGAACTTAAAGCCAAATTCATATTTACTTGTTTAGATAATAAAAAAATGTAAGTGCCAAATAATTATTAAAAAAATAACTAGGGGCAATATAGTAATTACAAGTGGCATTATAAATGAAAAAGTTGGGGGGTATGGTTTGCCGCGTAAATTTTGGAAACTTGCATTAACCAATCGGCAACGTCGATCCCCACTATATAAATGCCGTCAAACACCCAATTTTTTTCTCACAGAATTATCCCACTTTCTCTTAAAACTTCCCATCCAAGAAAGAAATAATCCTTCCGTTTCTCCAAACTTCTTTGGATCAGAATTCTTTCGTCAACCATGAAGAAATCAGGGCTCTTAGCTGCCTCAGTCGTCGCCGCCTCTGCTTCTTCCACTTTCACTTGTAACTCCAATTTTCAGTTTTCCAGTGAGGTAAAATCTTTAGTTGAAAACTGGGTCTCTGTTGTTTCTCTTACTAAACCTCTTTTCCGCCTTGGGTTTGCTCTGTTTGGTTGCCAAGAAAATATTTTCAGTATTTTGTTTTAATTTGAAATTTTGAATGTTTCTTTGGTACCAATCCTGTTCTTTTCTTTTCCCCTTTTAGCTTTCTAAATTTCTGTTTCGTTTAATTTTGCAGGACAAGAAAGAAGATGTGAAATCTTCTGCAAACAAGAAATCAACTTCAACTGAGAAATTTGCACCCAGGTTTGATGGGTTGAGGTTCATTGAGACTTTGGTCACCGCTCATCGGTGAACAAAACAAAGCTTGGTAACCACAAGCTTCAAATTTTTTCTTAAAACTTGATAAAGAATTTTAACTATTTTTTGCCTTTTTGGCCTTTTAGTTCATCCTTCAAAGAAGAAGTGAAAGAGATGCACTATGTAATGTTTCTCCAATTTGAGTCCCGTTTTGTCCAAAATTGATTCCATAATGCCCCATATGTATATATTTTAATATTTATGTATACTATTCAAAAATAATAATAATTATGTATAAATTGCTTTATCAACATATTAAATGGTCGATATAATTTAAATTCACAATGATAAATGATAATTAATAATCTTTTATATTTTAATTCAATTATAAAGTAATATAATTTTTAATTTTAAAATCCAGATAATTTATATATTTATAGATCAAAATGTTAAATTTTTTAAATTACATGCCACCTAAGATCATTTCTTGAATTTAATAATTATAGATATCTAAATTCGGTGCATATTACGTTGTTATTAATTTTATAATTTAAAAATTTTTTATGTGGCATTGGTGCTACTAGTGGTCGCTATTCGTCTTGATTAGGATGCGGATTTTTCCAAGTCGCTGTCGCTCCTTTCGGTGAGCAGTGTGAGATCGGCAACATTCTCGGCTTTTTTGATTGTGTCATGTCATAACTGATGTAAACGAATTCAACAAATATAAATAAAGATATATTTATATTTGTTTGTTTAAACAAATAATATAAACAATAAAATAAATATAATTTATTGTTCGTGTTCGTTCTTTAAGTAACGTAATTTATTCGTGTTTGTTCATGTTCGTTTGTTAAAACTATAAGCTAGCATAAACAAACATAAATTAAACAAATTAGTTTTTTCTTCTTCAATTTATTGTGAAAATAAAGGATAGTGAGATGTTAAGTGGGAAATACATGTGTGAATAAATTTAGACGAATATAAATAAATATAAACGAACAACTGAACGAACATATAAACGGACATATTATAAAACGTTTACAAACATAAATAAACAAATGAATCATTTGTTCGTTTCGTTTATTTAATTAAACTAACAGAAAATCTTGTTTATGTTCATTCATTTAATAAAAAAACATAAACAAACTTTCTATAGAACGGTTCGCTAAGCGTTCGATTTATTTACGGCCCTAGTCGTAACCTAACCGAGGTTGATTTGATCAAAATAATTTATTTAAAAGTAAATTAATCACGATTATATAAATTTCATTAAATTCTTTTTTTATATAAAGAATTATATTATTAGGATGAATTGTATTGATACTTGTTTTTGTTTAGTTGTGAGCTTTATTTGCCAATCTCATCGAGTTGAACTCTTTTAGGGGCTAATTAATTAGACAAGGATGGGGAAAAAGAAACAACAGATGCAGTGTTTTTTCCTGAATTAAGGTCGTTTCATTTGACTTTATATGACCAAATTATTGGGGTCTTTTTAAATTGAAAGAGAATGATAAAGTTTTCACTACAACACAACTTTTTATTTTATATATTTGATTAATGCTACATTTTAGAAAGATGAGATATACTAATAATACATTGAAAAGTAAAAAAAAAAATTCTTAAGTCTAAAATTGATAGTGTTGTAAGGTAATTAATGATCGATGACTACTCTAATTTCATAGCGAGCTTTTAAAATATTCAAAACACATTTGAACAATTAAAAATCGACAACAACAATTATGTTGGTAAAATCATAAATTTTGTTCGGGTTAAATTTCTATCGTAATTTTTTATTAGAGATAAATCAATGTATTGTCTTCTAACTTTATATATATATATATATTTAAAAAGAATTATTATTTTTGATTTTAAGTGCAAAGTATAATTTTATAAAAGTAAAACTATCACTTTTGTCCCTGTAGTAGATCAAATTTATCATTTTCATCCATATCGTATTTTCGTATCAATTTAGCCCTCGAAGTTGTTCAATTACATCCTTATATATCCTATCCTTCACTTAAACCCCTAAATAAAGGGTTTTAAGTTAGAGATTGAGGTTTAGAATTTAGGGTTATCAATTTAGGATTTTAAGTTAGGGATAGGGTATAAAATGATGTAATTAAACAATTTTGAGGGCTAAATTGATGTGAAACTACGATAGGAGCGAAAATAATAAATTGAGTCTACTAGATGAGTAAATGTGACCCTGTTGCCTTTTATAAACATAGGAAATAAAAAAAAAACTTAATTTGGTCATTTATTTAAGTTAATAATAAATGATATCAAACTGAATATACAATAAATTATAAATCATTAAAAATATAGAATCGATAATCGACTAAACTTAGGTAAAATAGTATTTTCTCTTTCAATTTTTTTATTTTTGATTCATTGGCGTCAGTGACAGAGTCGATGGCTAGCCTCTCTTCTCCTACTTTAACCTTTGGAACTTCAGTCTCACGGGCGGCAATGATGATCTCACAACCGGCTGTTTCTCTATCTAGTCGCCGACGTTTTCCGGAATTTGAAGGGTTGAGGATCCAATCATATTCAACGATTTCGTTGGCGCCGTCGTATTGGAGATATCCTACGGTTTATAAGCATAAAGGACGATTTGTTTGCGAAGCTCAAAAAACTGCTCTTGATAGTAACCCAGATTTCTGATAGAGAATTTGATTTAGCATTTTGCATGCCATGTAGAAGTTGGAAATCTTCAACTAAAGGCCTAATTTATGTCAATGGAAGATAGTAGGATTAACCCATTTTGACAGGTTTCACTGTCTGATTCTTATATATCCGCCCTGTTCTTCGGTTTCTTATTCCATGGATTGAGTTTGTTTTTGGAAGTCTAGGAAGGAAGTGTGCAGGAAGAGCTTGGTGTATCTTCTTATCAGAATAATTTATAGGTAGGCAATAAGCTTCCATATATGAAAATTCATTGAAACGTCTAGTCGTTCTATTGCGACTTTAAATCTGAAGCTGAACTATAGTTGTTTTTTTTTTGAAATTGATGATATTTTTATTTAGGTAGTCTATACACTTTTTTTCGTCCGAGAATTCAAAGGTTTTTAATATATTTTCTATATTATATAGTATATATGATAATACATATAATAATTTTAAAAATATATAATATATATAGTTTTTGAAAATATATAATATAGTTTTTGAAAACATATTATATAATTTTGAAAACGTATAATATATAGTTTTTGAAAACGTAAATAATATATGTAATTTTTGAAATATAATATATATTATATAGTTATTAATATATACATATTATTATATATTATTAGTATCATTATTTTATTTTCCTTTTCCTTTTCCTTATCTATTTTTATTTTTATTTACTTTAATTTTATTTTATTTATTTCAGGTCCAAGTCCAAAGTCCAATATGATCCGGAAAGAAGCCCAACCGGGTAGGCAGGCCTGACCCAGCAAGTCAACCTAGCGATAGCCCAACAAGTAAAAGCCCAAGCCGTTTGACCCAACAAGTTAGGGTTTCATACTTAGCATCGACGCAGTAATCAACTAGGGTCGTTAGATATGGCCTTTTGATCCAACGATCGAATATGAATCAGATCACCAATCAACGGCGCGTGGAGGCCTCGCTCCAGCAAGGTTACCAATCGGCCGAGATTTTCGGCACCCAAAACTGAAAAATCGCAAAATCGGAACAAATCGGGAACAAGGATTTTTTCCGAGATTTCCGACCAACACGAATAAAAAACCGATCCGAATAAATCAAAAAACGAGAATACACCATCCCAAGATACTTGGAAATAACCGCTGGCGGGGTTATATAAACCCCTATTTCCATCGAAGCAAACCAGTAAGAAAATCAAGGGAAAACAAAGCAACATATATCGAAAAAGCAACAGAAAAATATCAAAAAAAGCATCACAGCAAAAACAAAGTAACCGACAAACCACAAAAATCACAAAAACCAAAATAGGTTTTGATTTTGGCTCAGGAGTGGAGAAATCATCGCGAAAGCAAAGAGATTTCATAAAAAAGGTAAAAACACAACTTTAAATTTAGATCAACGTCGGCGGAGTGGTTTTTAGGGCTCGAATTTTGCTTTGGGATGTTGAGAGGGAACTTTTGGTTAGTTTAGGTTTTCCGAACGCCAGAGGCAGTGGCCAGAGCAGCAATCGACGGTAGCTCTCTAGATGTCGACGGGTGGTCGGCTAGGTAGGGAGGGAGAGAGAGAATTTGAGAGAGAGGGGAGAGTGTTTTTTTTTTTTTTTGAAAAATGAGTGAGAAATGATATTTTTTTTGGATTTTAGGGCCATTTATAGGGAGGATCTTTGTGTAATTACCAAATAGTTAAATTATTTCTGCCATCCTGTAATTTTGATGCGTAATTCATTTTGATCACCTATTGTATTTTTACCCTTAAATTTTGAATTAATTCAATTTAATCCCTATTTATATTTCTTATATTTTGCAATGCCCCCCTAACCTTTTTATTTTTCCTTGCAGCTTTCATTTAGCATCAATTTGACCCCTATTTTTTTTAAAATTATTTTCAATTTAATCCTCCATTATATTTGTTTTTTTAATTTTAATGCCTTGATTTTTGTTTTGATTTGTTTTGTTTGACAATAATTTTACTTTGTTTTTAGGGAATTTTAAATTGGTCAAAGATAATTAATTCCGATTGAATTTTTAAATTTTAATTTCAATTTTAAGTTTCGCTATTAAGACAATCGGGAAATCAAATTGGTATCAAAAGGACAGTGCAAGAGTGCTAATCATTCTTGATTGTAATCGACTCTCGAATTCGATTAATTTCTGGTAAATCGTAGATCAGATAAATGGTAAATTAAGGTGTCCGATCAACCTAATTTAAAATGATCGGTGATGACTCCATCACATCAAATTAAGTCGAAACCCGATTTTGGATCCACCCAGAACGGTTACGAAAGGTAGTTTTCCAACGTTGACAAATGAGGTTTCTATGTTGTTAGAAGAAGAAAACACTATGCTATTTCATACAATGGCATGTGGCCTAGTTCCATAGCAGTGACCTGTAAACTAAGCTGGCCTTGCAACCTAAACGAATCAAGCATAGCTCGGATCAGATTTCTTCGAATATGTAGTAGTTTTACTTATGTTAAGTTCCCTTGTTGCTTTGATTTTTGTTGGCAGTTCCAGCTGTGACTGATGAAACATGGCAATCGCTTGTACTCGAGGCTGATGGACCTGTATTAGTCGAGTTCTGGGCTCCATGGTGTGGACCATGCCGCATGGTTGATCCTGTAATAGTGATCAAGCACAGCAATACGCAGGAAGACTCAAGTGCTTTAAACTAAATACCGATGATAGCCCCTCGATCGCTACCCAATATGGAATCCGGAGCATCCCGACGATCATGATCTTTGTGAATGGCGAGAAAAAAGATGCAGTTGTCGGTGCTGTACCCAAAATTTCCCTATCAGCAAGCATCGAGAAAGTCTTGTAGATAGCCCATGGGTAGTGATATTAAGTGACCAATACTCATCACCCACTTGGCTTGGTTAGATGCTTTGCTCTCTCCATGTGATGTTGAAATTTTCTCTACCTCGTTCTCAAATTTGGAAACTTTTATTCTCATTCCATGTTTATGTCATTATTTTGAAAGTATAAATTATTGGTAATTTGCACCGTATATATTTGGGAACAAATTTTAGGTGGATTTAGCTCTTTCCTTTGATTACCAAAAAGGAAAGACTGCTAGTGGTTTTGGACCAAAACTTTTCACCTTGTCATTGTGAGCTCAAAATCCGAATGTTTGATCAGGTTTAGAATGTCTTTGATAGCTTAAAATTCGTATGTTTGATCATAAGATTTTAAATCCGACGATATGAGATATTTTTAAGTGTTTGAATATAATTTTTTAAACATATATTAATTGAGTGATTAAAAATGGGACTAATATAGTTTTATCTCCGCTCAACCTAGTTTGTGCTCGTCTAGTATAATATTTTTTTGACAAAATTCGTATAAGTTTTTCTCCATATTTTTTATGTTTTCTTTATTTCATTTTAACCCAACCTATGCTCATATTGCTTCCACGTCCCCCTTTAAAAAAAAAAAGTAGGATTAGCTACTTCAAATACCATTCACCTTTAAGCGCGGGTTCATTTATGTCAATAACGTTTTAATTTTGTCAATTTTAACACTGACGTTTATGTTTAGCTGCCATTATGCCACTCCGCCGTTAATTCATTAATAGAGCGATGACATGGCATCTCTGTTCCGTGACGGCGATGACATGACTAGCTCCCTCATCAAAACGACGTCGTTTTGACACGACCGTTTTGATGTTAAAAAAACTCAAAACGATGTCGTTTTGTTGATGAAAAAATGCTTTTCACGAGATTCAAACCATAAACCTTTATAATCCAAAGCTAAATACTCAACCTTCAAGCTAACTTAAGAACTTGTTACAACCTTAACAAAACTATTATAAATGTCAAATAACAGTTTGAATTAAAGCAAAAAAATAAAGAAGAAAATGATGTCGCACGCTGCAAATCAAAGCAAGAAAATAAAGCAGAAATTCCAGCTAAATTACAATAAGAAAATAAAGAAGAAAATCAAAGCCAAATAATAGCATAAATTAAAGCAAAGTTAAAGTGAAAAAGAGAAAATAATGTTGCATGTCGCCATTGAAGAGAAAACGAAGCTATTTCAGCATGAACAAAAGATAAATAAGAAAATGAAAGAAAAGTGAGAAGGAAAGCAAGCTTTATCACGGCATCGAACATATGAATGGTTAAAAGAGCTTTGATATGCAAGTTTTGTTGATGAGGCTTAAAGAAAGGGAAAAAATATTCATGAACAATCTCACGCATGCTTCTCTTTTTCTTTTCTGTCATCAATTTTTCAACTTTTTTTTCTCTTTTGAATTATAATTTTGTATTGTTTTGCCATATAGTTCAAAATGCAGGCTGTTATACCTATAAAATCTCTGTCTCATTAGGTAGGTTGTGATGTTAAAGATAATAATTAAAAAATAGTAGTAGAACCGTTATGGATGGAGGAAGATAATGAGGGTGATGATGGTAGTGATGGACATTTATAATAGTTTTGTTAAGGTTATATTAAGTTCTTAAGTTAACTTGGTTGTTGGGTATTTAGCTTTGGATTTTAGAGGTTTACGGTTTGAATCCCATGAAAAATATTTTTTTTCATAAACAAAACTACATCGTTTTGAGTTTTGTGAGTATCAAAACGGTCGTGCCAAATCGATGTCGTTTTGATGAGAAAGTCATGTCATCGCCGTCACGGAATAGAGATGTCATGTCATCGTTCCGTTAATGAATTAACGGTGGAGTGGTATAATTTCAACTAAACATAAATATCAGTGTTAAAATTGACAAAATTAAAACGTCAAAGATATAAACGGGTCCTCATTTAAAGGTGAGTGGTATTTAAAATAGTTAACTCAAACAAGTATTTCCAAAATCACTTTATATAAAAAAACGTTTTTATCCTCCATAGTACAAAAGAGAGTCAATAAAAAAATGAATGTTATTTTTTGTATTAATTTTTCATTGGATAATATTCAGGAAAACCCCAATCTTTCACCTTTGTCCTTAATCTATAAGGATAAAATTTGTTATAGTAGTCTATAAATAATAGTATATTCTTTAAAAAAAAACATACAACTTTTTATAAAATTTTTATACCAAAATAAACATTTTGTTACCTAATCATCAATAAGATGATGATCATGGACTAAATTATAAAAAAAACACTACATGTTACAAATATTTTAATTAATGCTTATCCTCTTGCTCTCACTAGTATTTTATTTTAAAATTATTTATTATTAATCTATTATGTTCATAATTATTTGTCTTCTAGATATAGTAGAATATCGGATTCTGTGTCTTTCTTTATCATAAAGCCTTAAAATCCTATTCTGTTTCAACTCAACCTCAATCACTCCTTTCTAGTTTTGGTTTCTTTCAGAGAAGAACTTCACCAGATTCTCCATTGAGGACCAAAAATAAAATATTTCCTCTGTTTTTTCAACTTAACATAAGGGAGACTCGTAAACTAACTGGTACGTTATCCAAATTTTTCCTACGTATAATTACTGTATTTTTCCTTATCTTTTCTGCGTATGATTCTGTTTTTAAGTTTGGATTGATTATCTTTACATCCCATGATTCTCTGTTTCATAGACTCCCTTGTCTCTTTTGAGCTTTCCATAATCAAGCTATGAAGATGTTTGATTCTTGTTTTTATTGAAGTTTGATGAATATTTTCTGACGATTTTAGTTTCTTCTAATCAAAATATTTGAACGATTTCAATCTTCAAAAACGTGTTCTCTAATCTCTATTCCTTTTCTGATTATGTCTATGTATAGGATTTCACAAGTATGGCACTATGGAAATCTGTATTGATTATCCTTGTGTGATGCACGTATGATTTTAAGTAGAGGCTTATAAAATTTTAAATTGAAACAATCGACAGAGAATATAAATAAAATATTTAAATTATATTAGAATTTGAAATTTCCTAATTATGAATCAAATTTGAACAGATTTTGGCAGTACATGGCCACTGAACAGTGCTTGGAAGGTAAAGATTGCTTGGAGAAGTGGAAGGATTCGCCGGGTGTGGTCGCCGTTTCGGATGATAATCCTTTGAGAGGCTTCGACTGCAACATCTGCCTCGACTCGGTGCAGGATCCGGTGGTCACACTTTGCGGACATCTCTATTGCTGGCCCTGCATCTACAAATGGCTACATTTTGAGAAGCAAGACCAGAAACAGCAGGAATGTCCTGTATGCAAAGCTGAAGTTTCGGATACCGCATTGATTCCGCTCTACGGCAGGGGTGTAACAACTAAGGAATCGACAACCGAGACTCCCCGACTCGATACCGATATACCAAAGAGACCTCTTGGTCCTACCTGTGGCGCTGGCACGACACAACGGTCGCCAAATTCTACTGGTAATCCGCAGTTCCAACACCAAGTCTACTACCCTCAACAGGATAGTTATCCAGCTTCACCTGCGCTTAGTCCCGGTGGCACGACGACGATAAATGTACCGGATCCAGTGATCCGAATGTTCAGCGAAATGGTGTACACGAGTGTTTTCGGTGATACGGTTCTGGACTTTTATACGTATCCGAATTCGTACAATCTTGCGAGGATCTCTAGTCCTAGGATCGGACGGCACGTAATGCAAGCTGAGAAATCACTCGGCAGAATAAGTTTCTTCCTCTTCTGTTGCTTATTCTTCTGTCTACTTTTGTTCTGAGCTTCATTCTCTAGACTCCTTTCCCATTTTTGGCTTGTATATCAACACAAACACGACATTTTATGTAGTATATGTGAATTTAAAATTATATTAAATATTTAGAGAATATGAAATTATTTTATTAATAAAAAAAATAAAATATATTCAAATTATATAAAAATTTAAAATTTTCAAAACTACTACTATACTCTAATGTCTCTAGCTGTATAGATGACCAAGTATATACAAATTCGGAGCAGGATATATTTGTCTTATGCAACTATTTAACTATCTAAAGAAGATAATATAATTATTGTGCTTTCAATCGATCCAAAATTGGTCGCTGCCACGAGTTTGATGCGATTTGTTAAAAAATTTCAACATTTTTTTTTTGTAAATTTGAGGCAAAAGAATAATATTTGTTTAAAAAATAATCATACTCTCATACTCGTAATATTTAAATTCGATACCTCAAAAATAATAGCAATCCTTTATAATAAAGGTTGCTTGTGTATTTTTTTAACATATTTAAACATCAATGGAATTGAGATGTTACATTTTAAATAAATTACTTTTAGTGAAAGTCAAAATTTCAATATCTTCTCCAATCTTTCTTGTCATTTTGTGGAGCTTCTCCTACGCTAAACAAGTTAGACCGATGAAAATCCATGTAGGAGGTTTCGAGGTTACGGAAACTTGTTCACATCTTGAACCTTCTCCTTCAGAATCGGCCATTTCTTCACACTCAAACTCCACATGTTCTTCAGCCATCCAAGGAAGCAGATGTTGATGCAATTGAGCAAGCAATCACTAGTTCACTAATTGATTCATCAGTTCTTTGCAGGAGCGGGTGGAAATCAATTCCATATGGTGCTGAAACAGATTCCTTCATTGGTCAAGCTATCTTGCTATGGATTTGTAAAAGAGAAAGGTTCAACTGGGCCTGGTGAAAGACGTGTAAAAGGAGAGTGATTAAAAGTAAAAAGAATAAAAACGTTTCTTTACCTTTATGTTTTTCATTTTTTCAACGAGGCAATAAAATCATTTTTAATTAGGCCTGTAAATGAACTGAACGTTCAGCGAACCGTTCATGAACCGTGCGGCGGTAAGTTCGTTTATGTTCGTTTATTTATTAAATGAACGAACATGAACAAGATTTTGCGTTCGTTTAATTAAATGAACGGACACGAACAAATGACTCGTTCGTTCATTTACGTTCGTGAACGTTCGATTATATGTTCGATTATGTTTGTTCATTTATATTCGTTCATTTATGTTTGAACAAATGGCAAGTTGAATGTGTTACGAAGATTATTGAAGTTATTTGGATTTCAAAAAGATTGTTTTGTTGAACAAATTAACTTTAAGACTTTATTATGTTCATATAGCTTATTTATGATTTATGTATGTTTTTGTCGTATTCAAACAAATTAACTCTAAAGTTGCAGGTTATATTAATGAATTTCAAGTTATTCTTGTTGTTTATTTTTTTTTTTTACATTCATTTGTTGTGTTCGAATAAGTTTGATTTTTGTGTTTGTGTTGTTCGTTTATGTTAATTTATTATATTTGTTCGTTTGTGTTTGTTTACGTTCATTTATGTTCATTTATCATTTAAATGAACGAACATGAACAAGTTATATTTCTTAATGAACTAACATGAACAAAAAAAAATTTATTCGTTTATATTCGTTAAATGAACGAACATGAACATACATCCGTTCGTGTGCGTTCGGTTCGTTTATAGGCCTATTTTTAATGTACACCCCTGACTAGCATTTAGTCAATAACAGCCATATCGGCTACGTCGTTTATTTTGTAACGACAGATAATTATATTGAAACCACTTAAATGTTCTCAAGTTTTGAAAAATAATTCGAGTCAAGTCAAATTAAAGTAATTCGAGTCCAGTCAAATTAAAACTGATATATGTATCCAACCTCGAGGCAGATTCAACTATCCGAGGCGAGGTGAGATCGGGTGCTGAATTCTATTTTCCAGGGGCAATTGTGATCCCTAGATTTAACACTTGTATAAAACAAATCAATTGTAAATCATTTAACCCAATAAACATGAAAATATTATAAGTTCCAAATCTTAAAAACAACAAAGAATTTTGTAAAAATAACTATCGAACCACATAACCAGCAACCAAAATTTACCATTCATTTAAATGAAATGTACAGTCAATATGAATTAAGAATTAAAAATATGATTCATATAAAAGTCAATGCAACATTGAGTCATTACAAGGCATACAGGTGTCAGCAATGTACAAAAGGTACTTACAAAGCATCCTACTTCACCACAGGTTCTAACATATTTGCACATTAAACATACGATCCAATTCCACAACTCACCCAACGAAACTCGTACTTCATTCAGACATGTCGGCGCTGTAGAAATGCAGCAACTTTAAGGGCATTACTTTCTCCTGCAACCAACAAATGGCAAAGTTCAAAATACATATATGGTCTCCCAAGTTTACTTTGCCATATTAAAAAAAACGAACGCAAGGGAATGGTGAGAAAATGTCCGAAACCTGAAATATCTTATCAGACAGAGACGGAAAATGAAAGCCTGTCGAACAATTCTCCAGAATTTCAGGGTTTTTCATCCATTCTCTACGACCATCACTTACTTTAATCTTATATCTAAACATCTGAAAGCATAATAAAAACTGTGTTAAATATATATATGCTGTATAATTCAACGAACATAAGCATAACTCGGCTCTATTCTTTTTAAAAGAAAAAAGAAATCCAAAAAGCTTCTTTGTACAAGTACAACAGAACAGTTGCTCAATGTTTTACAATCACATAATCCATACCTGAGAAAGAGAGATCTCAGGCTTCTCCAGCTCATCTCCCTCGATCTCAATACCAGAGCCTTGGCACTCTGGGCAGAGTACAGAAGTAATCAGGAGGGTCCCAGCCGGTTTAGCCTCTCCATTCTTCCCTGTCTTAGTGGATTTGGTTCGACTTTTTCTCCTAGATCTTCGTCTTACTAATTTAGGATTAATTGGCTGGTTCTCAATCCTCTCAACCTCACAAAGGAGTATCCAATGTATAAGGCATGAAGTATGAAATAAATGGAAGGCCTACATGTAAAGGAAAATGATAGATGTAAATAAGATTTGAACTAGGCGGTGCACACAAGTTAAACATGTTAATGAAATGCTTCAAGCTTAGACAACGAAAATGGTCATATTTAGTATTAACCAATGTGATGCAACTTTAAGGGACTCGCAATAACTGAAGGCGAACCAAAGCCGAGTTGAGTACAGTATCATACCCCATTAACATTTCTACTACTGCAAACAAGTTTTCCAGTATTCAAGTTCATCAGTGCCGCTACATCTTTCTCAGGAAGCATCTTTTGCCGACAGATATCACACATTCTTTCAGCAGCTACACGCTGTTGCCGCCTCAATTCCCTCCTTATAGCTTTATTTGATATAAATCTTGTGAGCAGAAACTGATCATCATATCGAGCTAATGCCAGACTTGAAGAAGCACCATTTGAAGCTGAAGAGTCTTCCCCAGATGAATCGTACTGATTTCTCAAAGATCCACTATCCTCAGGGTCAGAAAACGACTTCTTCCTTTTTCTAGTAGCAGCTTCACCATTATCCAATTCTGCTGTTGAACCAGATGTTAATAGTGATTTGACATCATCAAGAAATCCCTTTCTGCCTAGATCACAATTATAAACAAAAGTTACAACAGCAAATTCATGCTTTGAGACCTTCGACATATCATCATTTATGGGGGCCTCTTTCCCTAGCCATTCACACCATATTCTGCTGATAATATTTGAAACTCCATTCTCAAAGAACCTAGCAGCAATTTCCCCATAACCAATAAAATTCACTTTCAAGTCAGAAATTTCATCCTTCATTAGCACCCCTGGAATCACCAGATCAGAATCTCCAGCTTTACCATTCACTTGCTTGTTACCAGAACTAACTTGGTTGCCAACATATTTCACAACAGCAAGGATGCTATCATTGTTCTGAAACTCCAGCAACCTATTCTGGTTATCATTTACAACTGCAGACTGTTTCTCCTTTTCATTGGATGCACCAAAGAACAGGACACCATCATTGAACGGCCATGGATTAGTTCCTAACAATGTAACCTTAGCAGCAGCTAACCTCTCTGTGTGAAGACTCCCCTTCAAATGATCAAGTAACACCGAATCACTATAACATGGTGCAAGACACAAAGTGCAGAAGAATATGAACCGCTTCCCATCCTCACGAAGCTCTACGTAAGTATGCCCTTGCGATCTTACATTGTTAAGAGTTGTTTTAGCTAGCTGTTCCTTCAAGCTACAACCACCTTTCCTTTGAAAACCTAACTCCCTCCTCTCTGCCATTCAAATTTCTAACTAAGCAATATGATTAAAACCCTAACTGAGCTTAATCCACAATTCCACAAATTAAATCCGAATTTAGTAAGTATTTCATTTTTTCTTTCAACTTTACACACACACGTAAAAGCCCTAAGAGAATCAAGTTTCATGACAACTTCATTTGAAGGTTAAACATCATTCAAAGCCATCAACTACAAATTTGTAAGTTCCGTCAACTTCTTCCACATGAAACCCAAACCAAGTATCGATAATTCCACAAAACTCTAAACCTTCAAATTCACAGGCGAAATTCTAAAACTCTCAAGAACTTCATAAAAACAAGACACATCTACTTCAATTCTTCAAATTTCCAGTTTCAAGCAATGAAATATTAAGCCAGCAAATTTCCTTTAGGAACACTAAAAATAGAAAAACACTTTAACAAACTACAACTATAGATATTCGCGGAGAATTAGGTATCGGATTCTTAGCAAACCGTCGCGTTCTAACAGCGGCAGAGAAAGCCTCGAAAGCCATGGAACGAATGGGAAGCAAGCTGCTCGAACGCGAATCCTCCATAGCCATCTCCATTTGAACTCAGAGCGGCAAAGAGAATGAATAACAACAGTTAAAGGGACTGTTTGGATAACGAGAAAATTTAATTAAAAAAAAAAGCAAAATGAAAAGAGATTACCAAAGAAAACAAGAGATTATGACAGGGAAATTTGAAATTTGAGAAGAAAATTAAAATAAAAATTCTTAACAGAAATCTCAGACAATTTTTTACCCGGTTTGATTGCTGAGGGTTTCGATTTCGAACAGCGAGATTCCAGTTTTCGTGAAATAAATCGACAAAAAATCAAAATCATAGTATACGCAAAGGGGGATACGAGTAAAATGTTGCCGCTACTTCATTACCGTTGGATGAATTCTGTACATGCACGGATGATTGAGATGAACGGTCAGATTTTAAAAGGTTGAAATTAAAGGGATAAGATCTTAGATGCGAATTTCCGGATAATTATATACCGAGGAAGGCGAAAAGATTACGACAACTATTTTTTTTTAATTTTAAAATCGGTTTATATATAAATTATAAAATTTATACGTTGTTAAACTGATTTTTTATTTTATTAAAAAAGAAAAGAAAAGACAGCTGGCAGTTTGTTAGGTGAGAGGGATTATCTTGTGAAATAATCTTAAGTAAAGCTTACTTTAACTCACATGATTAGTTAATATATAACTAATTCTATACGAGATTGTGTCATTTAAAGTAAATAAATTGGATTAACTCAGTTAGCACGGTTATAATAAATTCATAGATATGAGTTTAAATGTGTCTAAAAACGTATTTAAATTATAAATAATTTATAAATTGAATTAACTCAGTTAGAACAGCTATGACACATTTATTTTTTATTTTTACAAAAACACATTAAAATGAGTTTATGTTTTTAAGATATGAAATATTTATTTTAGATATTATATTTAATGATTTAATGATGTGAAGATTTGGTTATATAAACATATCCGAACATTTTTTTTTCCAGTTCTAACTTTCTAAAAAGCATTTTCAATCTAATTTGAAAAAAAAGATAAATTACAAATTTGGTAATTGAACTTTACTCTCTATCATACCGTATTTTAAATATTTTTAATTTCTTAACTAAACTTATTACATTGAGTATTTTTGTTCACTCAGCCATTTTCTCACTAACGGGTTCTAAATAGTTTGTTATATAGATGTGAAACGACGTCGTTTTGGTGAAAATTTTATTTTTTTAAAACGGCATCGTTTTAATGTCGTTAATTATTTAATGACGAAATGACAGAAAAACTTAATGTATTAAGTTCAGTTAAGAAATTAAAAACTTTTAAAATTCAGTGAGCAAAACAGGAGAGAAAGTAAAGTTTAGTGATAAAATTTGTAATTTACCCTTGAAAAACACCTTTGATTTTAGAATTTAGATTAATTTATGATAATAATATTTATTTTAAAATAAATTAGAAAAATAATATTTTAAAAAAATTCAAAGAATTTATATCATTTTTGATCACGCAAGTAAAAACGCTTTTAATTGGACACATATTTACCTTGCGTGATCGAAAAAGACGAAGGCACTATGTAGTAAAAGTGCATCTAATAAAACTGTCTAAAAAATCAAACTTCAATTATACATCAGACTTCAATGTCATGGCAAGCATTTAACGTACACCCAAGATTGAATTAATCTTCTCAGGGTATGATTAGGGACAAGTTGGCAATCTGAAAGAGCTTGTTTCGTGAAAGGACATGCAATGTTATTCTTCCCTGGAAACAGCCATTTCTCGATGCTTTCCCTATGGTACGTAACCCCTGTTGGAACAGTGACAGGATCATTATCTCCAGGGAGATTGCGCAGATGAAAAATGGAGAGACATCGATTTCTTCCATTTTGAAAAGATGTATTGAACTTTTTTGAAAAATAAGAAGAATTAATAATTATTCTATAATTATTTAAATTATATATATAAATTATATGTATTTTTTTCTTTGCCGGATTGGGGTCTACAATCCCTCCCTATATAGATCTGTACTTAGTATTCTTGAACAGTTGAGACGATATCAAATTCAATATTAAAAAATGATCAAACAATCGAAAACATGTAATGAAGGTAAAAAAAGCGTGTCATAAAGATAAAAAAAAATGTATCATAAAAACAGAATTATTAAAAATTAAAATAACATTAAAAAAATAAATATGCATATAAAAATAAATAAAAAATAAAAGATACATACAATCGGCTACCAACATTAAAACTAATATCGTCGCATGTGAAATTAAAAAAAAAAGAAGAAGCGACGGCTAGCTAAGGAGGAAAGAAAAGACGCTAGGGTCCGAAAGAAATTGATTTTAAATGGCTCGTACTTAACCGTATTTAATTGTTAATTATGGTACTTAAACATATAACTATAAAGTCAAAAGTTTCATCTAAATGCAAATCAAGATTATAATGAGAGGATAATAAGGTATTATTTGTCACGTCTTCAGGAGGTAGAGTACATTAATGTTACATCTAAAAAGAAAAAAAAAAGATCTTAAAATATATAAACGCTGGTATTTTTTAATAAGAGAATAACGATCTCGTGACACATGCACTTCCGAGGCTAGGCTTACATATTATGTACTGGAATTTTGTTAAGGAAGGAGATGATAAGCTCATTCACCTGCTCTGGGAATTGCTCTTGAACAAAGTGATTCCCTTCTGGCATAAAAGTTACGTCCAGATTAGGCATAAACTGCTTCACTACCCCTTTCCGAATGTACTCCTCCGTCCCTGGAAATTTCATAAAATAGTCCTTCTCCCCCATTATCAACAACGACGGAGCCGTCACTTTCGGATTTGTTACACCATAGTCCATTTGAGAGCACCTGTAGGGAACCTGCAATGCAGTTCTGAAACCGGAATTCTGGTACAGTGTTGCATAGGCATCCAGATCATCCTCGGTGAACCACGGTGGCAACGGGGTCGATGGATCGACCAAGTCCATTATTTCCTCATCATCGCCGGCTACTTGTAGCTCACTTCTGCAGAAGAGGATGTAAATGTTTCTTACAACGGTCTTAACATCGAATCGGCCGAAATCCGCTTCCGCTCGTCCCGGTTCCTGCAGTTTGTTCATCGAATTCATGTCACCATCAAGCATACGTCGATATACGGTCATCGAAATAAGTTAATATTACCGCCCATCGTAAAACGTAGAAGCCTTTCGGGAGGAGATCGAATTGGATACCGACTGGACCAGGTATGAGAAAAGGAATGCCGAGTGTTATCACACCCAACACCCTTTCAGGGTGGATAACAGATACCATGAATGCAGGCACTGCTCCAAAGTCCTTCCCCACAAGAAAAGCCTATACGTTTTCCCACATGGTTAATTCACATTTGCAAGTAGTTTAATAAAGTGATAGCATAATAAAATAGACACTAAAATTTTTATGAAAAATATTTTCGAGAAACATCACAGCAGGAAGAAGATAATTTATTAACTTGGAAGTTGGAACAAAGAATAATACAAAAGGAATCTTTATGTGTAACCTAATCAAACTAAATTTCTTATTCTCCTCAATTTTCTCTTAATTTTTATCTTTATTTATTGAGTTAGATCAAATTCGGGTCAAATTCTATCATGAACCCAACGTAATGGTTACCTTATCGATGCCGAAGGAGTCGAGAAGCGCAACCACATCATCGACAAGGTCCTTGAAGTTAGCCTTTTCCGGCTCCGTTGGATGGTCCGAGAGACCATAGCCCCTGAAATCAAAAGCAACAGCTCGGAAGCCGGCATTAGCGACGGCAACCATCTGGTGCCTCCATGAGTACCAAATCTCCGGGAAGCCATGCAGGAAAAGAACGACCTTAGGACCTGCATACAGTTATCACAATTATTGCCGGGAAATGGAACATATGGTCAAAGGATGTGAGATAATTATCAAACCTGTTCCAATCTGGGCAACGTGAAGCTTTAATCCTCGAACTTGCACATGGTTGTGCTCAATCTTATCCATTGACAGACGGAGAAAGAGAACAGTGATGGAGGGGTGAGAATTGGGATTGAGATTAGCGGAGTTTACAAAGAGTGATGATGTTCTGATCTTAACCACTGGCTATTAAAGCCAATAAATATCATTAAAATACCACTCCATCTACATTTGATGATTTGGGTTTTGTTGGGCTCTCACCATCTTTATGTTTCTTTATTTGATAATTTTAGATGGTCTGGGTTATAGGTGGTTCGATTTAAAGAAATCAAATTTATTATTTGAATTAAAGTTAAAAAAATTTAACTCGAATTTTTTTAATATGAGTAAAGTTATAAAATAGAATTTAAATAATTTAAAATTTTTACTAATTAAAAGATTGATTTATAAGTTCTATTTTTAATAATTAAAATAGAATTTCTTTACTTCATGTATATCACATATGCAAAACTACATATGTATATTGTATATGGTTGTAGAAAACCGTCTAAATTAAAATCAAATATTACCATAACATTATAAATATTTATAATTAAACTTAAACATAAACTCAAACAACTCGAAATGAATTTTAGAAACTCAACTTGATTAAAAAAATCAAATGAAGTTTGAGTTATAAAATAAGACTTATCAACTCGACTAACTCATTGATTCAACTCATCTCAATTCGATCGAATACTTAACCCTAATTCCTCCCTTATGATTTAAGTAGATAATCGTTAATGTGATATCTAGAAAAAGTTAAGGAGACAATGAATAATGGCATAAGCTAAGAGTTGGAGCTTAGATCTCATTGTAAGTATCGCATTGTGACATGTATAGTTACTCTTAGTGCTGATGTTAGACAAAATATTATGATGACTATCTATACGCTAGTAAACAAATAGATACAGTTGTCAGAAATTAGATTTGACTCTAACAGATCACGTGGGTCTATAAAAAATGTTGTCACGGAAATCGTGATTTCTTGAGGAATGTGGAGCTTCATAGGTTCCGACATTTGAAAGCTTCAATTAGTGGAAAAGTTCTCTCTTAAGATATTAATAGATAAAAAAGTGATAACGGAGGTGTAATTTGTGAGGGAAATTCAGAAGATGTATAGTAATATTTTTTTTTTGTTTCCAGAAAAGAATGGATAAGTGGAGTTGTTATTCAGCCGAGCTTGAATAATGACAAGCTCAAACTCGATTCAAAACTAATTGTTTGGAATTCTACTTGTATTTAATCGAGTTTATTTTTTCAAAATCAAATTCGAATAGCTTAAGCGTCTTATGTTGGGCTTACCAACTCTTGGCTCAAACCTTGTCCAAAATTTGGTGAACGCTAAGGAGAAATGTCAATTTCATGTTTAGCATCTTTTTACAGTTTGCCTGTCCATTATCGTACCAGACGACAAGGATGGGCAGCTCCGTCTAAGCTTGACTTTACATCGCTAAAACACGTGACTGTAATATCTCTGCATTCAAATTCAAGGATATCAACAAGACAAGTTCTTACAGATTCACATCCATGGACCGAGTTGCAAACTTAGACAATCTTCTTTGAAACGTGAATTCTGTAGCTCGAAACCATTTCACCGACATTCCAATAACCATTGACCACTGGCATCATTTGATGCAGCCATGAATGCCATATCATGTCTTGAAACTCATGCAGAGAAATCACTGAAGGGCTTGCTAAGATTGGTTCACGAGCTGAGCAACCAAGCAAGCTGAATCCAACATTATGCTAAAATCTTAACTAAGTAAAACAAAAGAAAACACAAACATGTTATTTTCCAACTATTTACGATTTGTCCGAAGAAATTGTACATTGATACAAGTATTTGGGTAGCAAAAATATCTTCAGAGTTCAGACACTGTGATGATGAACCTCAAATGACACTTTAGTTCCTGCTTTAGGTAACCAATTCATGGAGCTTCACAGGTATCAAGGGTTCTAGTATACATTCCCTTTCGAAAATCCAACACTTGCAGGCTGGTGAACGATGACAGCTCTACGAATGATGTATTTTTTCATATGATTCCTGTTTTTTACACTCATTTTAAGCCAAAAGTAGCAAGATCCCACCTTGAAAATTGCACCATCGATCGTCGATTACTCACGCTTTCTGTACTAAATGCTCCGAATCTCCCATCTCCACTTCACTTCCTTGCCATTCGTTAAGGTTTCCGAAAAGCATCTCAATCTGTTCCAACGATTTTCCCTTGGTCTCTGGAACACATTTGTAAGCAAAGAGAACAGAAAGCGCTGACAACAGTGCGAAGAGGAAGAAGGTTCCGGCAATGGTAATTGTATGAGAAAGAGAGAGGAATGACATGGCAACAAGGCCACTGCATACCCTGTTACCTACAGCCCCGAGAGCGGATGCTTGAGCTCGCAACCTCAAGGGAAAGATTTCGGATGTCAAAATCCAGCAAATAGGACCCATTCCCACCGAAAAGAAAGCTACATTACCACAAACGCACAAGATCGACAGTGCAATTCTGAGCTGCCCCTGCCCCAGTAAACCAAGGGTGAGGCTTAAGGTCAATAAACAGACGGTCATCCCAATTGTGCTCACATAGAGCAAGGGCTTCCTTCCCACCCTATCAACGAGAAACGTAGCAATCAATATAAATGCAGTCTTTGTAACACCTACAGAAACTGTTGCAGCAAGAAGCTTAGAGTTATTCTTAATCCCGGCCTCCTTGAAGATTTCGGGACTATAATACACAGTTGCATCTATTCCGGTAATTTGTTGGAAACACTGGATTCCAAAACCGGTGATCAGCATCCGACGAATTGGAGGAGAAGGAGTTAGCAGTTCACGCCACACGGCTTTCTTTTCATTCTTCTCCCCATTAGACATTCCAGCAGCTGCTACTATTTCTGCAAGCCTGTCATCCACCTCTTTCTCGTTTTCGAGTGTTTTTAGTAGCACAGATCTCGCTTCTTCAACTCGGTTCCGCATGACCAACCACCTTGGTGACTCGGGGATAATAAAAAGTGCAAACCCAATGAAAACAGAAGGTAAAATTCCAACAGCAAGCATCACCCTCCAGTTTGTATTAACTGAAAGACCGGAAAATGCATAATTCGAGACATAACCAAGCAAAATTCCTAGATTTATGAAAATCTCAGGGAAGGAGGTAAGAGAGCCTCTATTGACAGTAGGTGATATCTCGGCAATATAGACCGGAGCAATCATGACGCCAAAGCCTATACCAACTCCGGCCAAAATTCGCCCTATCATTAGTATTTGGAATGAAGGTGCAAGTGTCATGATAGCTGCACCGATTTGAAATACGACAGCCGCAAAGGCCATTGTCCACTTTCTACCGATAATATCGGATGTCCTCCCACCGGCTAAGCTGCCCAAAAGGGAAATGATGCTCAAAATTCCGACGAGAACTTCTTCTTGTACCTCGGTTATCTTCAGATCTTCCTGTATAAATATAATGGCTCCACTCATTACACCTACATCTGTTCATAGAAGAGAAATTCTTAGGTTCAAAGTAGTCGAACACTGGTCACAGGGGGATAAGTCTAAGGCAATGCTTCATCAACCAAGACATCGATGAGCAATAAGAACACACGCAAGCTACAAAAACTAAGATCTGCTAAGCAGATTTTGAGCAAAAATGGTGAATTTTAAGCATCCCAAGGATGAACTTCAACGGTGGCAATCAACGACTTACCTATAATCTATATTCAAGTTCAATTCAAGCCGGTCAACAAAGAAAACTATGAAAATTCCAAAATTCCCAGAGAGAAAAAAGGAGCAGGCTTAACTTTTGTGACCAAAATCAAATAGAAAAGAGAAAAAATGAAGAGAGAAAAAACTTACCATAGCCAAGAAGAACATTGTTGAGAGATGCAAAAATGGCACAAGCAAGAACATATTTCCTGATACTTTTGTTCCTCTCCAGCTGTTGAAGATGAAGATTCAAAGCCTCATCATCAAAGTCATCTGATAGCTCGGAATCCATTCTCTTGTACTTGTTCTTGTTCCCCAAAGCCAAAGCCATTTCCCCATTACCATTCTCATGGACACCCACCAACCCCATAGCTACCGTTCCCTGTTTTTAACTCACAAAAACAGAGCAAAAGTAACAAAACAGACCCAGGAACAGATATTATGTTACTGCTAATTAAGCCATGAATTTGGGGTTTTAGATCTAAAAGCCAGAAGGAAGAAAAGAAATTGAAAGCAAAGGTTGGTCCTTTCCTTCCTTTTTACCACGCAAGCAAGCCAGTTGATTTTCTCCGAACCTTACAAATGGAGGTGAAATATACATACAGTCAACACCAAAATGTCTAATTCTAAACAAAGGTTTTATGATGTAAAATTTGCAAAGTTGACCCAACGATTAAATCATCCGTATTTTTTTTATTAATTTAGTCCTTTTTAGTTTTTATGATATTATCAAACTAAATAAGTCTATCGAATCAAAATAATAATTTGATTATTAAATTCTAGTATAATTTAGCAACACGTTACTATTTTTTAAATAAACAATTTAGGAAAAGAAGAAAGAGACTAAATTGATAAAAGGAATTAAATATGAATGATTATCTTTTTTGAGTTGTTTCAAATTTAAATCAAATTAACAAAATGTATACAAACAAGAAATTAAAATTATTATTATATTATGTCAATTTTATTAATATTAACTAATCACGATATATTTTTAATAATATTGTAGTTAAAATGATTAAATTTTTTTTAAAAGAAATAATATATCTGTAATCGAACTAACGATGGACCTAACATATTTTACCGTAATTATTAAGTAAAACGGGGCAAGGGGAAATGGCGTTTTCAAAGCAATCATGTGGCTGCTTTCAGACGTAAATTTGGGTTTGATTTAGATTTAATTAGGGGAATAAAAAATTATTAATTAGTATTTAGAAAGTAAAAAAAAAGTATGTATAGTATGTTTGTTCTCATCTTGGTGACTATTTACGCCAAACCAACTAGCTTCTCAGTTATCTCCCGCAACTTCTTTGCCTTCTCCGCATCACTTGCCTCTTTTGAAAGCTGGTTTTCGAACGAACGAATCGGAGTTCTAGTTCCAACTCCAGTCAACACCTGATTTCGTAAGACTCGGACCACACACGACCTGCAACATCGAAGGCTTGTCTGGTTCACATGCAATGTAACGTTTAACACATGTACACGACCTGTGCAAGTCTGCTCCCGGCTTCTTCTTCTTCTTCAGAAACGTATCCTTTTGTGATGTGTTTCTGAAACGGGGAAAAGAAGCCAGAACTACGGTACGTGCTCCCTGAACAGACCTGTTGTTGCAATGCAACCAGGGTAAAGGGAGGCGAATGTGATTCTGGTTTCCTCGTGGTACCGCCAGTGGATCTCTTGCAAGTTGCATGGTGAGCATGTTACAAACTTTGCTATTTTTATGTGCCTTGGCACCATCAAAATCTCCTCCATCTATCATAGGTGAAATCTTATTCCATTCAAGCTTCCGGCTAGGCCTAGAAGATCTCCAAGGTTAGCTTTCGGAGGCACGTTTCCGGCCAATGTGTTAGAGTTTCCTGCAATTGCATTCAAAGGAAGACTACAATTTATCGATTCGTAAATTATATGCAAAGCTGCAATGTGCTCAATATGTCCCTTCATTTAGGCCTATACCTGTAATGGACCAACAATAATGAGACGCTTATACGGGTAATCTGATTTCTTGAGGTCATCTAGGAGTAGCCTTACGAGGAGGAAGTGACCGAGATGGTTCGTTCCAACGCTGAGTTCGAATCCTTCGGCAGCATAAGTCGGTTCCTTAGCAGTAGGCAAGTATACAGCAGCATTACAAACCAAAGCATCGAGTGGCCTGCCGGAACGACGGAAGCTATCCACGAATTGCCGAACACTTTCGAGCGAGGTGAGGTCGAGATGCATTACTGAGTAATTCCCCTTGTCAATCCCAACTGATTTATCCGCTTTCTCAGCCTTGAGGAAATTCCTACACGCCATTATCACATGCCATTCCCCGTCTCGGCGAGAGCCTTGGCCGTCGCAAGGCCTAAGCCGGACGACGCACCGGTTATTATCACATTACCCTTTCTCAAAATCTTCTTTCCTTGCGAATGATATTTGCTTCCATTATCCAATGACATGTCGAGTTCTGGGATTTTTTTTTATTTCTCTTCCGACCTTTGTCATTTATGGATTAACATATAAATAAGTGTTCAAACTATATCTTAAGTTAATTTTTGGTGCTTAAAGAATTTTTTTACTCAAAATAGGTATCTAACATTTCCAACGTTATATCTTAACTTTAGGGTATAATTACAAAAAAGAATAAATTTGTGGTTAAAAATAAGAGTTGAAATTACATAGACATTCTATAGTGGTAGAGGACTCAAATTTAGTCAAAATGAACTTAAAATGAAAGCGGACTTAGGTGTGAGTATTCGATTGAATTGTACAAAATAAAGTTAAAATTTTTTGAGTTACTTTCGTTGACGAGTCATATGTTATCAAATCAAAAGTAAGCAAGATAATCCAAATTAAGAATTATACAACATGAATCAATGAGTTATGAAACTGTGGAGGAATCATCTTCCACCTCTCTCATTGCCTCTATAATTGTGAAAAAGAACATTTCATGCAATCCAATCCAAGTTTCTTTTCCCCCTCAAGACATTAACCCATTTTGTTTTGCAATAAAAATAGCAAACCTTGCTTCAAACCGCTCCAAAAATAAAAAGGATTAACTCGACTCGAATTCCATATTTGCTGGAATCCTGTAAAGGTTGACCTCACATCGAACCTTCGAAAGGGTCTAGATAACAAGTGCCGGCCTCATTAAGTTTATTTATTTTTCATTTTATTTTATTTATTTTATTTGGTAATTAGTGATCACTCCTTAGTCACTTCCACATCCATAGGGTTTCTTCGAGAAAAAAGAATTTACTGCATGTAAATTATGTTTCTTTTTTAGCCACGTCGGGTTCGGGTGAAAATATTGAAGTCGTGGAGCTCGACCCTAAGTTGCTTTAGCCACGAATCCGCGACGCTCAAAAGAGAGAACAGTCTCTCTTGGTCTAGCCCACGATTTCCCGACACCCACACACTTCCTTGCATCTTGTATTCGCCAAACCGAACGGAAAAAGGGCGATGTCATCCCCTTCCTTTCGCTTTCTCTGAGGACTCTCGAAGTCGTCCTCAGGGTTCATATCTGCACATAAAAACTTATCATCAAATCGTCAATTAATATTTGAAATTCGATCATTAATAATAAAAAAGGACAACAAGGCCACTTTGGAAAGTAGATGATAAAGTGTGGTAAGTGAGGAAGCATGTGGATAAGTCCTTTATGGTCCTTCCCATGGGAATGTGATAAATAGGATACCTGCAATTATCCGAATAAAATAATAGCATATCATAAACTATAGATACATAATTTATAAATTCGTTTTTTTAATATAAAATTCTGTGTGTCTCTGTAAAATATACAGAGAGAGAGAGAGAGAGAGAGAGAGAGAGGGAGGGAGAGACCAGGCAACTGCCATCCAAGTAGCTGGAGAAAGATCTACGCTCCTCAATGACATCAAACCAGGGTATCGTCATGATAATCCATTAATCTGTAAAGGGATTAGAAGATATAAATTGCGGCCTAATACTGATTTTTAAAATAGTCAAATTATGGTTTTGGTCCCAGTATTTTACTTTAATTTGAGATTTAGTACATATACTTTAATTTGACATAATTTGATCTTTAATTTTATAAAGTAGTTAACTAGTTACTTATGTCGCACCTTGGAGAGGTAGTGGACATTAATCTAACATTAGAAAAGAAAAGACAGGTCATATAATTTAAAATTGATGATATTGTTTATTCTATTATATATATATATATCCTTTGAGAAGAGAATAATAGGCTTGTGACGGTTAATATCAGTGTGACTACTTAATTATTTAATTTTAAGTTGAGCATACCGTAAGAATCACCCATAATGAAAGCATCATGAGATTAAATGGGAAGAGTGTCACGCCTTGGTGAGATGAGAGACAATAATCTTACGTCAATAAGAAAAAGAAAAACTCCGAAGCTTAAAAGCAATGAAGGAATCAAAGGTCAAAACTTTAATTATTATTAGAGTCAACTTATTCCGAAAAGAGAGTAATGATCTGTGACACTTATTTTGAAATAGAGCAAAAGTTTAATTATTTATTACCATAGATTATGAATAAAAAGAACCAAATAATGCTGAATCAGAATAGAGGTACTATATCCAAAATTTAAAGAATAGTAAAGGAACCTAAACCAGAATTTGACCTTTTCAGAATACCAAGAAAGCAGAAACAGAGCAGAAAATTGGAGAAAAGGTGACCTTATCCATGAGTGGAACTCTTCCATAAGGTGTAGTTCTCTCGAAATACTGGAAATAAAGGTAACCCAATCTATTATTCACGTGCCAAAAGCTGTCTTGCTCGGAGCCACCGTCCTCCGATGACCAACCGTCCCATCTCCATAACTCGCTTTCATCGCTGTACGAATCATTAAACGAATCCCTCTCGCCATTGCCAGACTCAGTCTCTTCCCTGTAAAATTTCAACACCAAAAGCTCATCAAATTCTGTTTTTATCTCGATCACGGAAACCACAAACAATTCCAACTACCTCAAAGAATTGCTGGTGAAGATTTGAATGGCGGAGAGATAAGGAACGTAGTACTGGACTAAGGTCTCGTCGTTGTTCAACTCGATGGGAACACCGGCGCCGTACGCACTCCATTCGTCGTAACAGTTCCAGAGATCACCCAATGTGAAATACTCGACGTTTTCTCTCTCCCAAGGGTTCCATAATCGATTAAGATTCCTAATCTCGCTCTGCAAAGTGTTTAAATTTCAGAAACGGGAAAGAAAAAGAAGCTTCAAAACAGAGATGAGTTGGATGAAACCTCGAACCTTGGGGAGGAACTGAGATTTGACGGCGGGTGTTGTGCATTGGAGGAAACAATCGAGGTTCGATTGCGTAGACCTGGCGTCGAAAGTCATGACGATTCAGAGAGAGAGAGATTGGGTTTATCTCTAACTCAAACGAGGGAGGAAAACAGAGAGAAATGAAGGGAGAAAACAGAGGAGAACAGGAGAAATTGTTGCGATTTCGTTGAATTAAAATGGAAAAACTCGTGTCCGATGAGGGTTTCTAAATTTCGTGATTCAAAGAGCTAAATTTCAGGAAACAGAA